TAATGATTGCACCCGACCCCACATGTCGTCAAATAAAATGTCCACCCGATAAAGGTGCACAAACAAATTTACCAACCATAGGTGCAAAGGTATATACAGAGAACCAAACACATGTCTCTCGATTTTTCCCTTCACACATCACGCAAACAAACAGAAACGTGCGGAAGAATCCGATTGGCGTTCGCCGAGTCGTATCGCCGCTCTCATTGGTCCGCCTTTTAATTTGTATGGCAAACACTTGCGGAGGACAGTCACTCATTTCGAAATTGGTGGGTTTCGTTCGCGCTAACGAGTCGCGGTTCACTAGCCATCTGGTCCACCACCTTTCTTTCATATTCTAATCTCTGTACACCCCGCGGGATAATTTTTCGCAACCCGCTTCAGCCTGCTGCTGGTGACGTTTTTTCTCTAGGACGTCCATTAACGCAGTCGTTAAATCATTTTGCTATTCGGTCGTTAGATGCATTGTGCTTTATTTCGATTGAAAATCGATATTTTTATATAATCTGAGACTTTATTGCTTATAACACAACAGTGTAAAATAATGTATTACACTCAGAACATTTTTTAATAAATATATAACAAAAAAATAGTTTGTCTTGATAAAGTATCCCTATTTGTCCAACAATTGCTTTTGTTACGGAAAAAAGACAATTTTTATACAAACTACTTATCTATAGATAAGTAGTTTGTATAAAAATTGTCTTTTTTCCATATACAAATACTGCTGTCAGTAATAGCATTTGCATTAATTATAAAGAAAATTTAGGTTATGTTTATAAAAATAACACTCTTTCAGATGCAGAAAGGCATTGATAAATATAGTTATTATTATTTGTCTTAAAAAACAGTTCTATACCGTTTACAAAAACTATTTTCATTGTAACAATGGTCACATTTTCAACCTATAGTTGGGTGTTGGGTAGTTTTTTTTAATAATTGCAAGGCATTAAAACAAATTATTTATTATAACAAAAAAATTAACTCAAATTACTCATATGTACAAAATAAAAAAAAATATGAACTTCCTTTTTAAACAACAAGTCTGCTTCGTTTATAGAATAGACCTTAAATATTTCTTTTAGAAAACGTCGAAATTTTAATTTTCTTAGTGATCTTTTTGATATTTTTTTCATGCTAGATTTTACCAAACTTCACTCGCACAAGTAAAATCAATAAGATTATAACACAGACTGTGGATTATAAAGCGATGGCCCTTTCCCCCTCTTTTTAAAGGAAATAACAAAAATTTTGTTACCATTGCAAAACAATAAATATTAAAAGAAATTTTATACCCATAAAATATTTTTATTATTGTTCTAAACGTAAGCTATTAACAAAGATTTTCTAACTGAAATAAAATTAATTTGAATTACAACTATAGTAATTTAAAAAAGACAAATATGCCATAGTGAAATGAAGAAATGTTACTATAACAACTGCGCATTACTTTATGTAAGCGCAATTCACACACAGCTATAGATTTAACAAAAACATTTTAAGTTCGACAAAGATTTAATATATACAATGTGTTCTATAAGAGCTATGAGGGTATTTACTGAGGGAATGACCTTTATAAGAAATTCATGAACCTCTGAAAATAAAACAAAGTTTACTTTTAAAGACTATTTTTTTATTTAATTATCAAATATATTTTATGCCTGATTAGTAGAAACTATTATCTAGGAAACAAATTATTATAGTCTGCAGATGACATCATTATGCACAAGATTACTGTAATTATTATGTCACTTAATTAAATTGGCAAAACTAAAAAAAAATCCTTGCTTACTTAACCTAACTGGCATTTTACCAATGGAATAAAGTTCTCCTTTTAACCTATTCAGTCTCAAAGTTTTAACTTGGGCAAAATAAATGAAAAATATTCACTTTCTTGAAAACTAACTTAACTGAAAATCTAATAAAAAAATTTTTTCTTTTCCTCGTATTCAGTCTCAGTTAATAAAATTGCTCTAATTACATATTTTGAACTGATCTATTTCCTTAACGGAATAACGGATTAATGATGGGGGATTGATCTTTTGCAGAACATCTTTCCAAGCTTCCTGTTCATCCTTGATTATTGGCCATCTCCAAGATTTGGTTCCTCTTTTCATACACTTTACTAAAGCACTTTCCTCAGAAACTGAGATTATTTCTCCCGAGAAAACTTTTTCGTCATATTTGATAAAGACATAATCACCTATATCATAACTTGAACTATCTGTATAATGTACATAATTTGATTATTAATATCATTATTATTTAATTATTATTTAAAAAAATTAAAGAACTAATTTAGTTCTTTAATTTTTTTCTCTATTTTTCCAGTTTTTTTTTAGCCTTCTTTCTATGGAAAACTTTTTCGTCATATTTGATAAAGACATAATCACCTATATCATAACTTGAACTATCTGTATAATGTATATAATTTGATTATTAATATCATTATTATTTAATTATTATTTAAAAAAATTAAAGAACTAATTTAGTTCTTTAATTTTTTTCTCTATTTTTCCAGTTTTTTTTTTAGCCTTCTTTCTATGGAACTTAGGGTGAAAATAGGTTTTACTCTGCCTTTCTCTTTTTTTTTAACTAAACTGCGCACCACTCAATGTGTCGCGACCAAAAAGTTCGTCCTTTTTCAAAACGACATAACTTTTTTGTTTCTTGAACGATTTTATTTTGGTTTGTGATGTCTGCTAGCCCCATTCTCTGGAAATTCAGGCTATAGATATGAACCTCAAGGTTCTTCAAGTAAATTTCCTACAGGGTGATATGGAAATCGGTAAAAAATTTCAATAACTTCATCCAAGCCCCGTTTGTAAAAAAAATATTTTTTTCTCGTTTTTACTTTGAAATAATGAAGTATTATGTCTTACCTTAAAACGTTTTTCAAATTTTTCGAATTTGAATCTTAGCAACAAAAATATGATTTTTTTTCAAAAGAGTACATTTGATGCTTTTTTGAAGGGAATACACTCAGCCGTTTTAAGATAAAAAAGATAAGATGGTGAAAGATTGTTCCTTGAATAAATCTGAACAAGTGACAAGCAACAAACTTCCATTAATTTCAGAGGAACCTAAGCAAAGACCACTTTTTCAAAATGACATTTTGGAGAAAATTTTCGAAAACTAAACCTGAACCGATATTTACGTTCGTAACATGTTTGCTTTATAATTTTGACCTCCTAATATGATTCAGTTGTCAAATTTAAGTTTTAGATAAAACCAAAATCACCAAGAATCAAAATTCGAAAACAATTTCCGGCTGTTAAATGTCTCAATAACATGCCTTTGCCAATGCCATTTGGGGATTCATTTTTTGGGAGAAATAAGTGCAATTTGTTTGAGTGGTAAGGATAATGTTACATATATTACATTTATATTGCGCACTAGTGATAACTTATTACTGATAAGTACCTACCTAATTGGTAATAAAGTTAAATACAAAATTTGTTTGTTCATTTTTGAAAATTTTATGCGAAGATATAATCATAATAAAAACTACAACATTCAACAGAAAAATGTAACAAACAATAACAATAATTACTTTCAATATTTTGTTGGCCCTCCCCTAACCCGTAATAATTCGTTAATCCTCCTGGGCATTCCCTAGACCAAGTTCCTTAGAAATTCCTGGGGTGTGGCTTCCCATTCTTCCTGAATCGAATTTACCAATTCATCGTAATTATCGGTTCAGGTTTAGTTTTCGAAAATTTTCACCAAAATGTCATTTTGAAAAAGTGGTCTGTGCTTAGGTTCCTCTGAAAATAATGGAAGTTTGTTGCTTGTCGCTTGTTTAGATTTATTCAAGGAACAATCTTTCACCATCTTATCTTTTTTATCTTAAAAAGGCTGAGTGTATTGCCTACAAAAAAGCATCAAATGTACTCAATTGAAAAAAAAAACATATTTTTGTTGCTAAGATTCCAATTCGAAAAATTTGAAAAAGGTTTCAAGGTAAGACATAATACTTCATTATTTCAAAGTAAAAACGAGAAAAAAATATTTATTTTACAAACGGGCCTTGGATGAAGTTATTGAAATTTTTCACTGCTTTACATATCACCCTGTAGTTAATTTACTTAAAGAACCGTGAGCTTCATATCTATATCATAAATTGCCAGAGAATGGGGCTAGCAGAGATCACAAACCAAAATAAAATCGTTCAAGAAACAAAAAAGTTATGTCGTTTTGAAAAAGGGCGAAATTTTTGGTCGCGACACATTGAGTGGTGCGCAGTTTATTTAAGTTTTTCTTTTTCGCGAAGTATTTTATAACTTTCAGGATCGGATTTAATTCTTTTCCTATAGGAATATCATAGGAAACGTATACGTTTCCTATGATATTCCTTTTTTTATTTATCTTCTTCTTTGCTTATCTTTCTTTTTCTTGACATTATTTGACCCTAGAATAAGATGGCAGTGGTAAAATCAAAGGTTATTAAAGGTTATCATCATTCCCTCACTACAAATAAAAATGAGGGAATGACGGTGAGGGAATGACGAAATAAAAAATAACCAAACAAATTCTCGTGACATAACCATACTTAAAAAAAGATTTTGTTGTATTTTTAATCGATTATTCAAATATACATCACATTTGTTTGTTTCAGAATATAAAAGTAATTTAATTTGAAGCTATATTTTGAAAAATATATTTTTCAAATTATTACCCCTTTGGTTCTAATTAATTTATGTGTGTATAACATACTAATAATACATTGCAAGAACTTCGAATTATCTAAATTACATACATGATCCTAAATAGGGTGTAATAAATCAATACTGAACACAAATATTTCCACAAAATTATACAATACTCCAAACATAATTATATTCTAAATACTAATATTAGCAATACGTAGCTATACTTAAATAATATACATTATTAAAAAATCAATACACTGCACTGATTGTGTCTATAAAACGCAAAATCTCGACAAGAATAAGTCATAAGAAAGTAAAATGTCTAATAGAAAAGTGCAAATCGTCATAATGACAAATACCTTGCAAATGCTAAGAAATAGATTTTTGTGGCCATCAAAAGCTAACGAGCTGGATCCACCCAGAAAATTTTACTATGTTGCTGCTGTTATGGCTGGGATTTCCTTGATATCGTTTAATGGCAGCTTTTTTCATTTTATATCACAATTAACAAGTAGGTACTCAATCCACACAATAACAAAAAACAAACGTTTATTTTTCAGAAAAAAATTACGATAATGTTGACATGGACGCTGCGAGTATAATAAGTCTTACAGGGATTTACTTTAGCGTTTTTTTCTTCCTTGTGAAAATCAAAAGGCTAAGTTTAATCTACCAAAAAATGTCCGATTTTGCAACTTACGGTAAACCCCCAAATTTTGAGAAGGATAATGAGACCTTAAATTTCTACTCCAAATTGTTTTCCATGTATATGTTTTGTCTTATAGTAAGCGTTTCGTTGCCTGATTTGGGCGAATGTAAAAACGCCAAGGCTGAGAAAAGAGTATGCGGCATTTTTATAGAGCCTTATTTATTTTTTAATTATAAAAAAATACCAGGTAAAGTTATTATGAATGTAGGGCCGGATTTTGAGTTCTAAGGTCTTGGGGCCAATTTCTTGTAGAGCCCCCGACAATTTTTTATTTCACAAGCTGCATCGCAAAATTCCAAATCCGACCCTAAGAAATATATTAGATTAGAGAGTGCTTCGTCCTGATAAAGAACGTGCGTATCTGGGTCATTTTCAAGAAACACCCGCTTTCAGGAAAATGAAGATCAACATATTTTTTTTGCTTAAATTGACTTTTGGTTGGATTTTTATAAATGTTTAGAGTTTTGTTTACTTACATTTAAGACAGGCAGTGCACTTTTTAATTTTTTTTACGTTTTTTTTCAGAAAAATGTGTTTAGCTAGCTTTATATATCTCCACTGTGTTACCAATTTGAAATCCAAAATTTAATTCAATAAAAAAAGTTGTTGTTCACAAACTTTTATTTTATTTTTTATTAAAAATTGTATGCTTTTTTTTTAAATTTGTATGTTCGTTAAGTTACTTTTTAAAAGAAACCATTCCGATTCTTTGTTAAAAAAACAATACCATTAATATTTTCTTTTAGTCACTGTATTAGTGAATTAAACTCTAATTTATAAACACGTATTACCAAGTGATAGTGTATAAAAATCATTTTAATTATTTTTTTTAACAAAAACTAAAAAAATTAACGAAATAGACATTGGTATCACAACGGACAGGGGTATACAAAGGACTTAATCAGATAACGTAAAAAAGAAACTATATAGGGTGGTACGATTTTAGAGTAATGCATAAACAAAATCCCTTGTAGTGGTGCTCACTTGCAGAATAACAACTTAGATTTCTAAATTATAGACACTATAAGCTGGTGAAGGTCCCTTTTAGTACTTTTATAATGCGTGGAATTTTTCCTTGGATGTAATCTATATCATGAGTTGTAATTACAAATAATTTTAAATTGGTTAATCATAAACTACTTTTAATAAAAGCGACGGTAAATATCCACTTTGTTGTCGAAAAATTCTATTGCGTTACCCTAAATTCCATTGCGTTACCATAAGGTAACATAGTGGACTCGGTAACGCAGTGGACAAAGTTTTGTAAAACCATATTTATAAAATAATAATAAAACATTATAGTCATTAATTACTCTCATTGAGCTTTAGTGCCCTAAAATAAACATAAACATGAAAAATAGTATTTTTTCTTACCTTACTTTTATTATTTTTTTGAGTAACTTAGCGGACAAACAATTATTACATTCGCGTTACCCGCACCTGTTTCAACCGATTGAATAAATAAATTCAGCTGGGTAATGTGTACGTCCGAACATCATTTGTTGATTACGTGAGTACCAAAAAAGTTACCATATATATGTTTTTTTAAATATTCTATCGGTAACGCGACGGACGTAACGCAACGGAAAAAATGTCTGGGACATGAGTCAAATTTTAAAAAAGTAGATTAAAATTAATTATTTTATATATAAATTGTTTACTGTATTAACTAAGGATGTTATGGATTGCTATAAAGCAACACAAAGTTCTGGTTATTCAATATTTAAAAAAAACATGTATGTAAGTTTTATAAAACGCTAATGGGACATGCGAAAATGTGTGTTTCACAAGTTTCAAAATTAAAAAATAAATATTCTGAAATAACTAAACAAAAATTTTCTGAAAGAGTTTACTAAGGGCTTGTTAGGCTTTCACTTGGTTTTTAAATCAATATGATCCGATAATTTTTAACAAAGTTATTGGAATTCAAACTTACGCACAGCGGAAGGCGGGTGTTTTTTGAAAACGACCCATCTCCATCTGAGAAAGTCTGGAATAGTAGAAATGCTGTCACTTTCAAGCCTATGCACTAACATTCTTTATCAGAATGGCCGAATTTTTCCATCTCTTAAATCTAACATTAATCCACATATTTTTCATTAAAGCATACCATATTTATCTCTGGATTTTAAAAGTATTTGGTTTGTCAGTGGTCTATCAATCGGGAGCAACTTTGGCTTTTCTTGCAAAGGAAACCGTTGAACATATAATTTTGAGATTAAAACATGTTAAAGCCAGTTATTCGGACGCTCTGTCAGATAAACATTCTCCAGAAACCAACCGACGAAAACTTAACTATACCATTTCTTACCATAGTTTTGTTATAAGGTAACTTTGGTAATTTCGTTTGAAATTTGTTGATTATGTTTTTTTAGTTTGCATAAAGAATTTGATAAATGTTTCAGCGCATGCATGTTTGTCCATATGCTATTTACTGGGGCTATATTAGGATTTATGGGCTATACTTTAACTAAAGTAAATACTCTCGAGCCAAAACAAACAGATTTAGAGACGATTTTGGGCACATATAACTGTCAAAATTAAAATTCTTTCGCCCCAAATGTATTTTAAAAATTTAAAATTTAAAACCCATTCGTCTCTAGAATTGAGTTTTTATTTTATCGACATTAATGAATCCTTTTAGACGTTTTCTATGGACGCTTTGACTCTTTTTATCGGCTGGTTTATAGCACTTGCGTTAGTGGCCAGTGGTGGTCAAAGAATTATAGATGAAGTATACTGATTTCAACAAAAATTGTTTATTTTCTTATCAATATTTTTTAAGAGTGAATCATTGGCAGAGGCAATTTATGATACCCCATGGTATAACTTGGATGTTAAAATTCAGAAAGACCTGCTTTTTGTTTTGAAAAAAAGTCAACAGCCTTTGTATTTTCAAAGCGGTCCTGTTGGGATTTTCTCGTATGCCATGGGCATGGCAGTAAGTTCACATCGTATACGGAGATAATTTTTTAATAAAATTAGAGTTTATTTATGGCACACCGTTTTAACATTTATTAAATAACTAATTTTTTAATTTAAAATTTTATTTGTTTAAAATTTTCCTTACTAAAAATGTTACATTTAAAATATGTTTAACTATCATGTACGAGGTGTGTTCAGAAAATAACGGGAATTGTTAAATTTCGCGGCTTCGAAGGGTCCGGTTGTCATAAAAATTCCCGAAGTATGATAAAAACTTTAGCTATTTTCATTGTTTACTTTGTCTGTGGCAGCCGCTAAGGTTAGACGTGTTTTATGAGCTCGGCGATTTTTCGTTCGTTAAAAGAAATGGATCAAAGAATTCGTATCCAATTTTGCTTAAAAAATTAAATAAATTCTGTGAAATGTTAACAAAAGCCTATAGTGAGTCTGCTATAAGTAAAACAAGAGTTTACAAGATGGCCGTGAAGACGTTGAAGATGACGAACGCCCCGAACGCACAAGCACATTTACAACCGATAAAAACATGGAAAAAGTGGAAGAAATGGTTATAAACCATCAGAAAAGTCGCTGATGATGTTGGTATATCGATTGGCTCATTCCATGAAATTTTTTCGAATGTTTTGGGTATGAAACGCGTGGCAGCAAAATTTGTTCTAAAATTGTTAAATTTTGAACAAAATTTTTGGCCAAAAACAATACTGTAATGATGCCTCAGCCTCCATATTCGCCAGACATGCCTCAGTCTGACTTTTTCCTATTCCCAAAAATAAAGAGAACCTTAAAGGGCCGTCGTTTTGCAAGCATAGATGACATTAAAAGCGCATCGCTAAAAGAACCAAAGGCTATCCCAAAGATCGAGTTTTAGAAGTGTTTCGAGTATTGGAAGAAGAGCTGGCACATGTGCATAATATCCAATGGGGACTATTTTGAAGGCGACAACATTAATGTGGACGAATAAATAAATATTTGTTTCAAAAAACGAAAATTCCCGAACACACCTCGTATTGAAAGACAAAATTTAATACCAACAGTTCAATTCTGTATTACTTCCAACTAGGTATAATATTTTAATAAAAATGATTTCTTAAATATAATTTATTTGGGCAGAGTTTTGTGAATCTTAAATAAATAAGTATTTTATAAAATTATTTAGATTAAATTGGTAAAGTTAAATTTTTTATTTAAAATAAAAACACATATAAAATTTTTTCTACCAAAATAGTTTAAAAACTTAAAAAAATTAAACTAAAAACAATTGATAATCAAAAAATATTTTAAATATTAAATGAAAATGTAAAAGTTCAAGTTTAAATATTGGTTTTTTATAATTCTAATAATTCTTTTAATTATTGGTTTAAATTGTTAAAGAGTCATATAAATGATAGTCGATAAATGTTTAATACAAACATTCTAACATTACAATTAAATGTTAGTTTTAAATTTTAAAGTGGTAATTTCTGTATTAAAAATTTATCGACTATTATTTAAATGACGCTTGAGAAATTAAAACCAATAACTTTTATTTTCAACAAATTTAAATTGATACACTTTGACACAAACATATTTACATTACATTTAAATGTAAGTTTTACACAAAGTGTAAACGCGAGTCATTTAGATGATAGTGAATACATTTTTAATCCAAAAATTATCACTTTAAAATTTAAATATTAAAAAAGTATTATTTAAATTATTCTTTACAAATTTTGTAGGATAAAATATTTAAACAAATATTTTTAAAAATCAATATTTTTCTAGTTTAAAGTTTTACAGTTGTATTTTTTATTTAAAATATATTTTGACTATCAATTGTCTTGAGTTTAAAAAAGTTCTGTTAAAACATCATTAAAGTGCTTTTATCTTCAAATAAATAAATAAATCTTTTTATAATTTAATTATTTCCGTATTTAATCATACAAACTCTAAATTTATTATGTATTAGGTAATAAAGTCATCATATTCCTTCTTGACATTGCTTGCAAGTACATCCCATTAAATATAGTAATTAGATGTAATAATAAAAAAATGGGTTAGATATCTCACGTTTAGCTTAAATTATCATCTTTTCCACGTTATAACTTGCATCACGCTATACAATTAGCTTATGTAGCATAGCATTGCTTTGATAATATTGTTAAAATGCCTCGGATTGTTATTCTTGAGAATAGCTTGGATATACATAGAAATAGATTTATTTGGACCAAAGATGAAAGAGAATTTAATCCAGGAAAATTGTTTTATGCATCGTTCACAATGGTTAATTTTATGTCGGCCTGTGTAATATATGGAATCTGGAATGGATCTGATAAAATCACTAGAAGGTATGTTTATATTTATAATGGGAGAATTGTTTCGTTATACAGGGTGTTTCACGTTCGTGGTCGATCTGAAGTTTCTGGGGAACGAAAAAAGATATGGATTTGAAATTTTAAAAGCGTTTATAATACATTTAAATCTATTTTACTATAATATTTTAAACAACTTTTCTTTATAATATTTTATCGTATATCCCATATAAAGGCACTTTACCTACACAACAAATAGTTTTTTTTAATATTTCCAAGGCATACTTGATTTTTCAAAATTGAAATTATGTTGAAAATTAATCTTTTATTAAGCAGAGCTGAACCATTGAAAATGAAAATTAAATTCAATTTTTTTTGGATTTTACAAAAGTCGTTTCACCTATCCGGTGCACACTGTATATTTTCATAAAAAATATTACACTAAACTTATTTTATATGTTTTGATTTTGGGGGTAAGTTCAATACAATAAAATCTAATATAAATTATGCTAAATTCCTATTCTTGTGTAACTTTTTTGCAAAGTACAAATAGGGCTTTATTTTATAAATGAAAGTTATTTAAAAAATACACCTTTCAAAAACATTAGACGAAATAAAAAAGCTTTTTTATCTCAGTCCGCAAGGGGAAAAAACTATAAAATTAATCCCAGCGCATCCGCCATTTTTGAAACAAATTTAATTCGAGCATTAAATTGAAAATAGTGCTTGGTAAAAGTTCGCACAGTGGGCTACATTTAAAAAATGGTAGTGCTAATGCACAAAGTGGGAAAAATTTAAAAAATGGTGGAAAAAATTTGCACAGCAGCTGGTTACTAGCTGGTTTTTAAATAAAAAGGTCCAAAAATTGCTAATTTTTTAGATGCAGGGTTTTATGATCTGTTATTTTATTCCACAAATTATATCGCATACACAGTAAAAAATACATGTAAATGTACAAATTTATCGGTACAGTTAAACAATGAATTTTACGTTGTAAAAAGGAATCTAATTGGTGAAATTACTTAAAATATGTAAAAATACATAACATTTGTAAAAATACGATTCACGTGTGAAATATAACCAATCAAAGCAACTGTTTTTAATCACGTAATTACCACGCCACAACAAAAGTTGACGACTTGTTATACACATTAAATTTTATTTCGAGTTTGGGTCAGTCTGGAAATTTTTGTTAAAAGGTAGGTAAACTAATTATTTATTATTATGTTTTAGTGCATTTCTTTTAATGTTAATTGCAGAACTGTAAGACGATATGAATTTTACTTGAAATATCACAGAAACGTGGCAAAAGTATTGTTAAAATGTTTACGAAAAGATTGCACAATCATCTGCAAATCCTTTTCAGGGTTTATATTTAAAAAAATATTATCGATTTCAGGAAAATTAAGTTGTAATGTAAAAATAAATAAATATTTTAACAGCCATAGCTTTTTTGTTTTAAATGTTACCTTTACTTTCCTTTTTCCTTAAACATTTCGTTGGTGATTCCGCGTATACCGTTTAGGTACAAACTTGAGATTTGATTTTTGCATTTAATACCTACACCCTATGTTTTTTTTTTCATTTATTTATTTTAACAAAATTTTTTAATAAATATATTTATATTATTAGTTAGGTAGTACCTAAGCGGTATTGCAATATACATATAACTATAACTATTAGACCAGTGCAGAAGCCTTTAAAAATGGTAAAAAGAGAAAAAAAATTACAGTAGGATGAAACCCATTGGAAAAGGAGGGGAATATAATAAAAATTAAAGGAAAAATAAATTACGGGCGATCTGAGTTCGGGAAGTGGGATGGGGGGGTTTAAGGGTAAAAAATGGTTTATCTCGATTTCCGGCAAAACTACAAGTCCTATGGAAAAAAGTTAAATGTCAAAGTTGTAGGTTATAAAAAGATCTACAACTTTTGTATTTACAATTTTTTCACATAACCTCAAAATTTATGTGAAAAATTCAAAAAACCAAGTTTTTGGTTTTTTATTTTTATCTTTTACAAAAAAAAAAATTTTTCCACGAAATTTGGCAAAAACATACCTTTTTATGTCCCAAATACACTGTAATTTATTTGATTTGAAATATTTATTATTTCGCCTTATTTTGACTTAATATCAAAAAAGCACCCTAATTTTCAATCGAAAATTCTCGCGTCAAAATATCAGCTTTTTTCAAAAAGTCGGTGTGCTTTTTGTTTGTTGAAATCTCTACTTTCTGATGGTGTAAAAAAATATACATTACTATGGTAAATGTTCTCAGAAAATGCAAAAAATATTATAATGAATAACGAAAAAAACTCGAATTCGAAAATTTATTTTAATCATTATGTACAATTTCATCAAAAAAATGTGATTGTTGCAATTTTTTTTAGTTAAAAAGTTTATTTATTAAATTCTAATAACATTTATGTCAGAAAATCTCATAAAATATAAAAATACATGTAAATCATACTATTGAATTTAGATACTTCATTCTGATTACGTTATTCATTAT